ATGTGTTGAGCAGTCCTGAAACAGTCATGCAGCAGTCTGTCACGAACCACTCTGGCTATGTTTTTTACAGTTATACTGTGGTGTTTTTTATTTTTTTTCTGTCAACTCAGTTGTTATTGCTGCTGATGCTTGCTGGGTGTGTTTGCCTGTGGACTTGTTAAGACACGTGAACACAGTACAATCATCAGCAGCGGGATCTAAGAAGGTGCAAAATGTTGAACAATGAGGAAATGAAACAACATGGTTTGCAGAACAGCACCATGGCTACTCCACCATGTCCAGGGTCCCCGTTATCTTCAGTGGTTTTTACTTCTGTTTCATGATATTTCTGTATTATTATGATATATTAGCAAGTCGTCTTCTGACCTGCTCATGGTACTGTACTGATTAACCAGAGGACGCCTCTGAAATGTTGTTGTATATGTACGTATATGTGTATGTGTTTCTATTCTATTCTATTCTATTCTATTCTATTCTATGACCATGATTCTATGACCTATTATATTCTAACTTGTTATTTCGCTATGTTATTTTTGGAAGAATCATTGAACAGATATAAGCCAATGGGAAGAGGCTATGTCGGGACAACGAACCGTGTTTTAAAACCAGTTACAAACCATGCCCAAGAAAAAGGGAATTTGTCATGTTTTGTATTTTAGGGTTGGTTTAAATTTATACAACTAATCTTTTGTAGATGAATTGCACCTCAAATAAAAAAAATGTCTTTCCTGGGACAAAGAACTTTAAAAAATCAGCTACATTGTGCCAGAAATTGGAATATCTGGTAAAACTACAAGACCAACAAAGACTTTAAGGTAATGTAAAGACGTATATATCTATAAATATATAGATATATATATATGTATGTGTGTGTGTGTGTTTTATATTTGGTAGAAATTCTACATAGAAACAGTATAAGGAAGAGACCAACACTCCCTGACTCCGTGTCTTAAGAATGTGTCAGTGCCCCAGGCTAACAGAGCGTAGATGTTATGACTGTCTGACAAACTTTGTACGCCATAAAATATTCAGAAATCTTTTCTCTAGTTGTGGTCTTCTGTTTTTTTTCTCACCAAAGGCCAAAGACTCTTTATTTTTTATATAGGGTCTCTGGTTTCTGTTGTGTGCACACACACAGTGAATTCATATGAGTGAAAGTTAAAAATCAGAGTGTGATCCTAACCAGCTCAGTCAGGGTCAGGAGGTCTCCCTCTCGGGCTGCTTCCAAAAGTTTCTCCTCCAGTTTTCTCTCCTCTGTCCTTTCAGCCGCTGGTATCAGTCCAACAATGGAGGTTCATGAAAAAGTGAACACAAGGCTAATGTTTTACCAAACCCTTAAATGTTAACACATGTTGTAAAAGGAGAACAAAACACTCATTTTTGACATTAGAAACATCTTTTTTTTTTAACAGTGGAAATGTCTCTCTCACCTTCCAGCATGCTTCTGATCTCTGCATTTTGAGTGACATCTTTAGGAATTTGTGCCGTCCCATTGATGACAGTAGCACATGCATCATAGTGCAGCAGCAGCATGACAACCTCCTGATCAATATGTGATTGATTGAGTGACTGATTTTGTGAATGAATAAAATGCACTAACACAATCACTATCTATGGACATTTCCATGCAGAGATTTGAAGGCAGCAAAAACACAAATTGCCGACAGGCTGTACCTTTCGTCCTGTGAAAGCAGCTTTGTGAAGTGGTGTATCTCCAATATTATTGGACGAGTTAACATCTGCCCCAGCCTGTCAAGTTTAAACAGTAGGCTTGTTTACCATGCAGTCACTGAAAACCTTGGCTGTGGTGGGACAGAAACTAAAATGAACCCAACCTTCAGCAGCTCCTCTACGACATCTCTGTGTCCAAAGTAACAGGCCAAGTGAAGTGGAGTCCATCCCAGGTTGGATTTACTCCTACCTGAGGAAACATTACACACTGCATCAGTGCCAATCACGACTGTTCTCACACACACACCTGCAGTTGTTAGTCATGTACCTTTGCAGTTTATATCGATCTTTGTCTCCTCCATGATCTTTGACATGAGGAGTTTCTGAATCCCTGGCAGATCTCCATTGCGGGCACAGTGCAGGAACTGCTCCTCTGGGTCCAGCTCGTCCATGGACCCCTGCACAGAAATCAAGTATTAGTCCCAGCAGGTCGTAGGCATTGTTTGTGACTGAACAGTGGTTATTTTTTCTCTGGGAAGGAATCCAGAAGGTAGAGGTGGTTTCTCCCTCTTACTGGATCTCCTCACAGCGAGACATGACGAAGCTGTTGATAAACGTCTAAGTCAGGTAAACCAGATCAGTTCCTCAGACCTGAGCAGGTATCCTAACAGACTATGACAACAATAAAATAAAATCTTCCCTCCTGGAGAGGTTGCTCAAGCCTAAATTGCCTAACATGTCAACATACTTTGGTTTTAGGGCACATGAGGAAAAGGTCACAAGACTTTCTTTTATCAGGTGGTTAAAAAAAGAAGAGTAAAAGTCATTCTGACACATTGCGAAAAAAGAAAGAAAAGAAATTGTCACACTGCAGAGCAGAAACCAAACTAGTCCTACCACTTCCTCACCACTATCCCTACTCTCTTTAAACAGCCAGTCTATGCAACAGTCTATATGATAAGTCTCTTACAGAAGACAACAGAAAAAGACAGGTTATCTTATATAATCCTATGGACTGAGGTCACAAGGCTACTAAGAAGAAGAAAAACTCTGCTACTACATGTATGACACTTGCACAAAAGAAGGAAGAAGAAAAATGTTGGCAGTGAAACTGGTTCTGTGACATGATCAGATATGTCACGTGACTTTTCACTGTTTGTCAAAAAGACAGTGACATTGATATGATTAAAAGACAACGTTTTCCTTCACAGCTAAACCCTTCACATTTAGTCTGTCTCCTTCCTGCTTCTGTTTGAAGTGGATGTAGTCACAAAAAACGAATTTCACAACTGTGTGTGACAAATAAATACTTAAAATCTTCAATCTTACCCCTTTGATGTTGACTTACCAACCTGTATTTTCTCTCTCTTGAGTTCTTAATAGTTAGAAAAAAATCCTTTCATCATTTCACTTGTTACAACTGGAATTAGAATCATTGCGCAAATCTAACTGATGGTTTGAATGCAGTTAAAGGGCTGCAACAGCTGAGCAGCAGCAGGCAGTAATCATTCAGCCTGCCAAGATTTGACCCTTGAAAGTGCTGAACAGCAATGTATAACAACAAGATGACTAAGAAAGCCAGAACACACATATTTATGGTGCACCAGAAACATATTCAATCATAATGCACAAAGACCTGTCCCTTAGAGGACTTGGCATATTTACAGGTCTGATATATTGATGTTGTGAAGAATAACCAGTTCCAGATGTTTTTCTATTATGTTGTAATCTTTTTGCAAGGTTTGAATTTATGGGTCTGAGAAATAAAAAATAAAAGGAATCATACATGTAAAAATATTCAAATGTTATATTCAGGGGTCAAATACAATGTAAAACACAGTGACAAGTTAAATAAAAACAAACAAACAAACAAAAAAGAATTTCAAACGAGTGCTGGTAAATGTTTTTTTCCCCAAGAGTCTATAAATGACTCTTAACGTTTCTTTACGTTTCTGGTAACGTAATTAAATGCAGAAATTGTCGTTTGTTTTAGTGTTTAAACAAAATAGACTGATTTTCTTCCATCACTAAACTGTGTGTTGTTTTATTTTCCTTGTGTAGCCTGTTTGCCCAAATCTCTAGAGGTAAGGTTTACTTACATGACATACATGGGAGTACAGGATTTGTTAGTGTCACTAAAAAAACACGAAAAAGAAAAAAGGCAAAACAGCAATATTGTATTTGGTTGTCACATGTAAAAACTCGGTCTAACATTGTCACAAAACAGCTATAAAGGAAGAAAATAATCAAAATACCAATAGAAACCACTGACCTTATTCAACAGCTGGTCCAGCCCTGCTATGTAGAAGCTCTCAGTGAATCTGCATGTGATGATTTAAGCTCCTCAGAGCCGTTTCCTGCTGCTGAGCTGCACAGAAAAGACGCATCACACCTTCACTTAAGAACATAAATACACACCATTTCCATCTCTCTTGTTCAAACGACGATAAGCTGTCTGACAGTGAATTACATCTGTCTGACAAGGCTCTCCTTTTCACACACGCACCTCCTCTTTTCTGTTTACACTAAGATCAGCTGATCTGTGCTGACCGGAACACGCCCGGCCTTATCGATGATGCTTTTCAAAATAAAACTTGGAGAGAGTCACTGCAGGCATTGCATGTGGTTCGCAGCCAAATCCAAGTCACAGTTAAATCACAGAAACTATCTGTTATGTTTACAAACATATACAGACACATTTATTGGTTTGCGTTTTGATAAAATCCAGTTTTCTTTTGTTAAGATTATTTACAATAAAACCGGAAATCCTAACACACGAACGGTTAGGAATTTGAACCCGGAAGTGTTTTGTACTTAAAACTTGCACGTTGGCTTTCTCTTTGGAAAAGTAGTTGATAATGATAGGAGTGCATCTTTAGGTTTTAAATATATGCTGACACGGTCGAGAATGTATATATAAGTCTAATGGCATACTCTAAAGTTGAAGAGAATGTTGACGATTTGCAGTCTCAAGTAAGTTGACCAAGACTTTCTGATTAATTCTATTAGAAGAACTGCAGCTCTTTTTAATTCATGGATTAGTTGTTGATCATCCAAGACGCGTCAACTGTCTGTTGCAGGAGTAGCTCTTTAAAGTGTACGGAGAAACACGTGACTAAACGTATGTTGTTTACAAATACTGCAGCGGAGCTTTGACAGCTTAAAGATCCATTTTGTTAGAATTAGGGACATCTAGTGGCAAGATTGGAGATTGTGGTTGACGGATGTCTCCTCAGCACCAATACAGCTCATTGACTAGGAATCAAACCAAAGCGTTGAGTAGCTCGAGTCATTCCTCTCAACCATACCTTACCTACAATATTAAAGAGCGAACGAAATCTATTACTGCACCCACTGCATTTCTTCAAATCTTAAAATACCAGAAGCATACGTTTTAAAATATAAAACAACCCCCTCCCCCAAAAAAGACAAACAAAAAAACAAACAACCCCCCCTCCCCCCCAAAAACAAACTGTAATACTTAAACCTCTTCAGACTGGCAAAAAAGGCAATTCTTTTTAGGTTAACTCTCTCTGTGTGTCTGTCCTGCTCCCTGCCACTCAGCAGGATATCTTCATATTACATAAATTAATTAGCACCAACGGCAGTGTTGGCAGAGGTCACCCATCAACACTGCAGCCACAACACGATCCCAGATGAACACCTGCAAATGCAAATATAATTAACCTACAGCTAGTTTTTGTCACAACAGAGCCTATCATTGTTTGGTATTTCTGATGAACATGGACACATCCTGTGCCTCCCACACACTAACAATTAAGTCAGGTCAGTTTGATCAAAGAAATATATCTGAGCATTTCATTTTGCAATATAACACATCTACTACTAAAACTGCATGTTCCCTAGTTTACATTTATCTACTCAAATATTACATTTCTCAGTTTCAGATACCAAAAGTGAACATTATGTGTAACATAATGGAAGTTAACCAAACAGTTGTTGTTTGTGGTTTAAAGGCAACCGTGCTGATAAAGCTTCAAACCTTCAGCACATTTGTACTTCACTTTATGTTATCATGGTTCAATCGTACTGTGTATCCACAGGTGTGCAGTACTACCTACCTTTTTACCTTTTCATCCCCTCATTAGATTGAAGAGGTTGAAGCGCTATCTTCCATTTATGGGGATGAGTGGTGTGTTATTGATGAGGCATCCAGAATATTCTGCATTCAAATATCAAACAGCTTAGAAGAAGAACCCAAGCTGACCACATGTTTACAGGTAGGTCGACCCCCCGCAACCCTCAAAAATCTCTCGGTGTGAAAAAGTGTTGTGTACGTCTCTGGTCAGAGTTCATTTGAAATCTCAGTTCATGATTCTTCTGTCATTGATCAGATCATTCTCCCACCTGATTATCCCAGTGCATCTCCCCCCATCTACCAGATCAAGTGAGTGAATTTGCCTTTCAAATGCAATTTTGATCTACTGAATTGATAAAGCGGCACCCCACTCAAAACCTCTCTCCTTGTCCTATTCAGTAATCCTCTGTTTGTTCTCGTCTTTGTAGTGCGGCGTGGCTGCGAGGCCCTGAGAGGGCCAAATTGGCCAACAGCCTAGAAGACCTTTATGTGTGAGTCTTCTTTCTGTCATTTCTGACTTTAACAGGAAGTGCTGTGAAGTGATATTTGGTACAACAACAGTCTTTCATTAACAGCTGTAGCTCAGTCTCTCCCTTAGCATCGTAACGTGGTATCTTGATGTTTTCAATTTCTACAGGGAACATATGGGGGAGAGCATCCTCTACCTGTGGGTGGAGAAAATTAGAGAATTCCTGGTGGAGAGAGCCCAGTGCTCAGAAACAGGTGGGTAAGGTTAAATGTATTGATCAGGTTTTTATTATAGGTCTATTAAATGTGTGAGATATTCTATATTATTATTATTATTATTATTGTTATTATTATTGTTATTATTATTATTATTATTACAGTATTATTATTATTATTATTATGTCTCTCTGTAATAAACATTTGCTATAGTGGAGTGGACCTTGTTTAAGGCACAGTTGGTGTTGATGATATGAAACTATTTTCCCGATTCGTTTTGTGCTGCATTTATCTTCACATTGTAATTCCTCTGGGGAAACCTAATTGGGAAGAGTGCTTCAGAGCCCAGAGGAG